TCCTAGTCCCTTCTGGATCATTGAACAGGCAGAGGTTTTCCTTTCTCTCCAGTTCCTGGCTCTCCTGGTAAGAGCCAAAGAAGAAACAGACATGAACAAAGAGACAGAGGGCAAAAACCAGTCCCAGAAGCCTTCATACTGAAGCCATTTCATTATGGAACAACAATTTTAAAAGTCCTAAACAAGTGGAGACCAGGATGGCATATAGATGACTTAATCTTTTGAATAATAACAGTCTAAAGGAAGTTGTGGTGACAAGTCAGGGATTAATGTTCCTAACTCTTTACATGCATATCTGATCTATTACCACCACTTGGCTTAATGGGATTCTACAGTGTCAGTCATATTATGCAATCAGAGATCAGTTTTTCAATGGCTGAAGAAAACAAAGGCCTAATATCGAGGAATTCCAGCAGAGAGGAAGGAAACGAAGCTTCCTGCCAGCTGAAGCTGCTCCCCCAAAGGGAAAATGGATTAGATAAAGTGACAGGTGTTTCTCAGAGATGAGCCCAAAGCTGCTTCTGTTTAGTCACCCAGAGTGACTAAAGGGAATTAACTGCATCCTCTCTCGAGCTCCTACCAAGCCAGGGCCAGAAACCCTCATCTGTCCCCGACGTGGAAGATCACTGAGTCATGAGATCCGTGGTCTGCCTCCTTCTCCACCTCTGGAAGCCAGCGAAGGCTAACCGAACCTGGGGTTTCCATCTGGGACAATGAGGGACAGTCCAGGTGAGCTCTGGGGCTTCAGTACAAACTGGTCTTACACGTGTCCCCAGGGCAATTCTGACTTCTGGGCTTGTCTCTAGAGTCACCCTTGGCTCTCTCAGGGTTCTGTGAACCAAGGAGGTGGGGCTGTGAGGTGTCCTTTCCTAGATAAAGAAGGGTCTTCATCTTGCTATCACTCCGTCCCTGCTGCTTAAAGTCCTCGCCCAGGCTTATTACCTTTCATCTGGACCAGAACCGAAAGCAGTTTCCATCTCATGGGCCAATTCCAATTAATTGGCAGTGGCTACCGGAGCCCTGTGTTGAAAGGGATTTTGAGTTTAGCAGGAAAGAGTGTGGTTGACCATTAATGGTGACCGACTGCCACCGGCACAGGAGGGAAAATGCAGCAGGCATTCTGAACTGGATGGTTACATTAGCCTTCTAAGGGGTATGCTTCCTCTATTTTCTTCCAGAAAAAGATTAACTTTCTAGAAGATTATCTGACAACATCTTACCAAAATACTTCAACCCTACTTCACTTAAGCAACTCAGACCTGCTCAACCTGTCATCTGTCTATCTATCCACCTACTATCATCTCTCTCCCTAGTCACACTCACCCTTCTTCCTTCAGTTTCAGTGCATCACCCCCTTCTCCCAGTTCATCTGCTGCTCAGCTCCCCTCATTTCCAGCCCATCACTGACACCATGGCTGGTCCCCAGGACACAACTCTTCTGTCACTCTCTTGTGACCAGCCCCAACCTCCTTGCCCATTCCTCCTGCTGTGTCAGCCCCACAAACCCTCTTCTGTGGATCACCCCCGACCATTTTCTTCTTTCTTTCTATGTGAGGGCTCCTGAGAGCAGCATAGGAATTCACCATCTTGTGGTGTGGGTTTGACAAACCTTTGTCCTCTGACCTCTGCCGGGTTCTCAGCACAGCCACAGCCCTTGATCAGCATCCTTTCTTCCCCTGATTCTCCCAGCTGCAGTCTTTAACCTTCACTGCTATACCCCTGGCCCCTCCTCAGCGATGGCCACCCTTCCCTCCACAGATGACCAAGGCTTCTGTTTTAGTCAGAAGCTACTGTAACCATAGGCTTAGGGGTTGTTTAAACAACAGACTTTTATTTCTCACAGTTATGGAGGCTGAGAAGTCCAAGATCGGGGGCTTGCAGTTTCAGTATCTGGTGGGAGCCCTCTTTTTGGTGTGCAGATGGCTGGCTTCTTGCTGTACCTTCAGGTGGTACAATGAGAGAAGGCTCTGGTTTCTTTCTCTTCTTATAAGGACATTAATCTCATCATAGGAGACCCACCCTCCTGACCTTATCTAAACCTAATCACTGCCCAAAGGCCCCCACCTCTAAATATTATCACAATTATCACATTGGGGTTTGGGGCTTCAATATATGAATTTGGGGAGACATAAACATTTAGTCCATAACAGCTTCGATTACATGAACTCCCTCCACTCCCACCCTCGAACTTCAGGCACTTCTGCAAACACACTCACCTTCCAGCTTTTGCAAAGGGAAAGCTGGATTCTCTCCTGCCCAGAGCCTCCGTTGGGACATTGGATCCAATCTCTCCTGGGCCTCTGCTCTCTCCTTTTTACTTCTTCTCCCCACTTCTGGTCCCTTTCCTGCAGCCGAGAAACATGGTCAGTTCTCCCCCTTAAAATATAACCTCTCTCCCCAGCCTGCCCACCACTGTCCCTGTGCCTCACAGCCAAGTTCCTGGAAACAGTCCATTCTTTCATGATCCATCATGTACCTGTCTTACCTGTCCACTGTGCAGCAGACCTTGTCTCTTTTCTTGGCTTTCCAGATACCAGGCCTTTCTCGTTCTCCTCTTCTCTTGATTAGTCCTCCTCAAGTCCTATCCTTTAAATGATGGAGTGGCCTGGAGGTTTGAAAGTGGGTCTATTCTAATGCCAAAGGCTGATCCTGTAAGCACCATGCCATGCTCTAGTTCTTTCGGAGCTGTCACCAGATGAAGAGTGAGCTACCTTCTAGTGGCCCAATGGAAAGTGGGCCATTATCACACAGGGTGGATAAAGAGGATTAAGAAGATACCATTGTTTCCAATAGAGAGAAGCATGAAGAACATTCACATTCCACAAATTCCTGATCTGCACTGCTGCTTCTTTAGCATCCTCCTTAGCTCTGGCTAGAGAATGTGAAAAATGTAAATTTCCTGTTTGAATAAGATGCCTGTATTTAACTGCAAGTATTGTCATGAACAGGGTACCTAATACCTGTTTACAGTGAAGGCAGTAGCCAGAATGAACTGCCTGCCTGATTCAGGGACCCGGAAAATCCAAGGGATCACCACCAGGGTTTTGCTCCAAAGAGGATCTGAAGGAGAAGGAAGACCTTTCTCTAAGTCCTAGACTCTGGAGTTAGGACCCTCATGTAAAGGAGAATAAAAAGAAAGAGACCCCTCAAACTCCTTTATGAAATGGAGAACTTGTCCTGACTGGGAGGGGTTGGCTCAGAGGCCCCAAAATGGTATGAGAATCAACCCTGGTCCCTTTCTAGCTGGTCTGGTTGGGACCAGTCTCTGGTTCATCAGACAGAGCAATAGATCTGAAACGAGCAGGCCTATGCTTTCTGAGGCCCACAGGGAGGTCTGCCTTTCTACGGGGCCACAAAGCTCAGACCTGGGGCAGGAATAGACCAGACAGCCTCTCTGAGCTCTGGTGGACGTTGACATCCTGGGAAACCAGGTGGTGCCTGAAATCAAATGCCTCTTTATGAATTAGACCTTTGATTTCTTTCCCTGTGGCTGGTTAGGTGTAGGAAATAAGCTCCCCTTGGAAATGAAGCACAGAGGTGAACAGCTGAGAAGCTCACCAACCGGCTGGAGAGGTTCCACTTCCTCTGCAGAATGTGGGTTGGGGAATAATAATGCTCTACTTCATAAGCTGCATTCCAGTTTTGAGAGCCCAGTGACTGTAACCATTCATCTCCACAGACAATTGGTCTCTCAAAGAACTTTTCAAGTCATGGAGACTCTTGTGCCTGCCCCACATCCCCTCTCGGGGGCCTCTGGATGAGGCTGGGCCATAGTGAGATGAGTCCTAAGATGCAAAAATATAATCGGACCCACCAACTGAGAGACCAAAATGCTAATTTCCTAAAGTGTTCAGTCACTTTTAGCCACTGACTGCCTCCTCTGTGACTGGGTCCAGTGTGAATTTGAGTGAGTCATCTGTTGAGGTGGGGCATATATAGGAAACAACAGCAGGACTTTTTACCAATCTCAGACTTACTGGCTAATGAATTTGGCATCTGGGTGGTGGTCCTTGTACCTCATCATTTCATTCACTCATATATGTATATTCACTTGTGTGTGTGTGTTTGTGTGTGTATAGATATAGATACAGATATAGATATAGATAGGTAGTCTTTTTTTTTAAAGAGAAATAGCCTGGAGAAATGACACTTCAACTGTTTTGGTAGAAGATCAGCAGTAGTGGCTCACCTTGCAGTCTTCTCAGCATGAATTCTGAGCGGTTTTCTTTTTCTACCTTGGTGGTACAGATTATTCTAGTGTTTAGCCTGCAGGCAGAATCCCCACTTTCCCTCACTTTCCAGCCCCCCCAGGAGTTATGGAATGCAGAAGGAGAAGGCAGGAAAGCATTTGGGAGAGCTGCCCACCCACAAAATGAACCCAACCCAATTCCAGATGACTTGGCTCCATTTCAAATGGGACTTTCTTATTGTTCTTCTTTTTCCCTTTGAGATTGGTTTTCATTACCCAGTGTTCCCCTAAGTGGATGAAAACTGAAAACTATGAATATTACCTTTTAACTGGGGATGGTACTAGTCGAACAATTAAGAATTTAACTGATATTTTTTAGAAAACTCAACTTGCTGGCATGAAAAAATAGCTTTTGCCCCAATTTTTCATATGTCGATGGAGGAGTGTAGGGAAAGCCATCTATGTCCCAAACAAAATACTTCCAAATAGTAAAACTATTACTCAGTTCTACATTTCTTTTATTGCCTAACTGTGGGGACCCTTGTAGGTATCACCACTAAACTGGTACCTGTAATTACAAATGTCACTCTGTAGCACTCTTACTTTCCTCATTAGACTTTGTCACATGGTTTGAGACAGAAGACCATTCTTTACAACCTTGGAACTTCCAAAAAGAATGGTTTTAAAGAATTAATCATACCCATTATTAAAAGTAGAGCCAGAATATACATGATATGATACACTGTCATACATTCTCCACTTACGAACTTAAGGACATCAAATAGGAATTAATCTGCTTGTTACAAACTTAGGGACATAAAATGAAAATACTCATTCTATATTAAAGATCTAATTAATTTATCAGCTATTTGCCTCATCAATTGATCAAGCAAAAAAGGTGCCATTTAAAGAAATTATATAGTTTTTTTCATACTTTATTTTCTAGACTAGTTTTATAATTATCTTAGCAAATAGATTTGCAGCTATTTTATGTCTTTTGTTATTTATTATTGTTGTTGTGACTTGGGATGTACTACTGAAATGTTCTTTAGGTCATACAAGTCATTTACCTTAAAAACTGAATCATTCAATAGTTCAGTATCTAACCTACCCTCAGGAAATAAAAATTGACTGAATTTTTACCTCAATATCAGAGCTACACTACTTCATAGAACCTAGATTTAGTCTTCAGAAATCTGGAGGGAGAGAGGGGAAAGGGAAAAATCACTTGCTTAGTTTTTAGCGGGACAGAACACAAACGCACCTGTTGCTCCTAAATGGTCAGAGTTGAAAACACAAGGATCCATCAACCTGTGAATGTTTAAAATCTGTCTAGTTCAGTTCTTTCCAATGCTTGGAACATTCAGGAATGTACAATTAATTTAAAAAACACACTTTAAAAGTGTTCCAACTCAGGAGGAGGAGAAAGAGAGCTGATAATCATCTGATCAGACCTTCTGTTTTCTCAAGAACTCATAGAATGACCTTCCATTATGACCTTTCCATTCCTACCGTACTTGCCTGTGTTCTAGACATCAGGGTGTTAGACAAGTCTTGTCTGTACATTTCACTATCAGCTAAGCAGGGTAGGGGAGACTCTGAGTGAAATCTGAAACCAGAATTGCCTGATTCTTGTTATTTGGTTACATAATGTGTAACATAAAAGGAATTAGTGTTACCATTTAGGATTTAAGTTAAAGCACTCAAAGCAAAGTGGATCTTGAAGAGAATGACATGGTTGTACATGGATTCTGGTAGCTATTGCTTTTGCTCTTATTAACTACTTCAATTCCCATTTTTGCTTCCAGAGATGATTAAAGTACTGAACTCCAGCTCCTACTTGGATCAATCTCTTAATCTTTTGACTATATACTGACTGCTATACAAATGATACTCTTCTTTGCATAGAAGGGATCTGAGGATGTGACTTACACTTACATAGCTGTAGCTTGAAAGACATTGCTAGAAGATGCAGACTGTATCCATGTGCAACTGGGCATCAGGGCTGTTTGGAAGCATAATTGGGACTTGGCAACTGACTGACTCAGGGATTCCACAACTATGATGACAGCCATAATCATGTGAGCTAGGAGTCTGCCGGATTTTCCATTAACTCCACACTACCATGGAATTAGGCATATAGGATCAACCACAAAACAGAATAAGCATGCCACCAGTGAAGCAAGGACAAATCCCTCCTTCTCCCTGCCCATCGAATCAGTTGCAGGCCTTAAGAGAAAAGACTGAGACCCCCTAAGAAGGAAGGAATTCTGGACTCAAGATTGCAGAATCAACTCTTCCCTGGGTCTCTATTTCACCATGGAGATTTTGGATTTGCTAGGCCCCACAATTGTGTGAGCCAATTCCTGAATATCTATCTATCTATCTATCTATCTATCTATCTATCTATCTATCTATCTTCTATCATTCTATCTATCAGCTACCTATCTATCCATCCAATATTGGTGCTGTTTCTCTGGAGAATCTTAACTAATACAGTGGGAGAGGCGGACATTGAAGAAATGGGGTGGGATAACATTTCTGAAATTTTACTGGTGTTTTATGTTTCTATTATTTCTCCCCTTTGCCCATCCCTCCAGCCAAGGTGCTCGGTTGCTTTACAGCAGATGTAACAGAAAGAAATGAATCTTTCTTGCTTTGGTTTCCAAAGTCCAGTGGCTCTTAGGGGACTGTTCAGAGGCAAAACATTTGTGAGATGCAAAATATTTGGGAGATGTGGGGTTTCAGAAGAGCAGTGTCTTCTCTGGACTAGAAAAGATACTCCAGGCTTTGGCGGGGGATGGGGGGAACGGGACATAAGGAGGCCAGAGATGTTGCTGGTCCTGAAGATCACGTGTGGAGGGGTGGGTCAAGAGGAAGAAAGACCCTAGCTAGGGAATGGCTGTGCCACAAGTCTGGACAAATAGTTGTTACACAGCCAGGCAGAGTCCTGGCTCCCAAATGAGACACGAAAGCCACAAGGAGAGCCCAGACCACTCACGAAGGGGCAAAGAAACCAGGAACTCATCTCAGTGATGACCAGCAGGTCTCCATGGCCTACAACTAGGAGAACAAAGGATGTCTCAGAGGACACCCTTGTGGTCAAGTGGACTCAAGATCAATGGGCCTTCACCAACCCAATGTCCTGGTACAATTTAAATATCCAGCAAGATAAACACCACCAAAGAAACTGCAAGTTGGCTTAGATAAGTTTCTACCACTCTGGAGAATGAGAACTCAATGGTTTAGAGAAAAAGATATGTCTTAGTCACCTGAATTGTGACAAGCAGCATATAGGAGTGGGATGGCTTGGGGGAACTGAAAGATGGCCATGATGGTGCAATATAGTGAGTGAGGGGAAGGTAGCCCAAGCTGAGGTTGGGAAGGTAGGCAGGGGCCAGATCATGCACACCTGCATGCAGTATGTCAGAGAATTTGTATTGTAAGTAACATGGGAAGCTGTTGATAGATTTCAAGCACTTCCCAACTTTGAAAAGCCACATTGCCTGTTGCATGGAGAATGGATGGGGCTTGCATGTAGGTTAGGATAGCAGATGAGAGGCTACTGCATCATCTAGGTGATGGAAGATGGTGGCTCAAACCAGGTTGGTGGCAGTGGAACATAGGGATGGATTCTTGGTATATTTTAGTGGTAGGAACAACAGGTTTTGTCATTGGGGTGGATTTGGGGAGTGAGGGGAAATGAGGGGTCAGAAAGAGCTCTCAGCTTTCTGTTAAATCAACGAGTAGAAAATGAAGCCACTTACTGAAGAGGGTGAGTATGGAAGAAAACCAGCACATGTGAGGAAACCCAAATTTCTGTTGTGGACATAATAAGTTTGAGATATCTGAGAGGCAACCTTGTGGAAATGTCCAGAAGGTATAAACAGAGAACAGAGTAGAGGTCTGGGTTGGAGGTAGGACTGTGGGTGTCCTCAGCATTAGTTCTTGCTGTTTTTTGTTTTGTTTTGTTTTGCACCTGCCCAACTCCCATTCTTCTTTCAGGTGTTAGCTTAAATGTTGCTTTCTCAGCAAGGTCTCCCTTCCCTGTCCCCCAGAAGACATCACTATGAATTGGGCTCTCCACTGGGCTCTCTCTCGATTTAAAATTCCTTCAAAGTACTTATCAAGGTTAGAAATGAAGATTTATGTTTGCTTGTTCTTTAGAGATGACTGTCAGCCTCCCTGAGACGCTCTAGGAGAAAAAATGACTTTATTTTTCTATAATGAAATCATCTGAGCCCTACATTTTAGGAGAAAAAAAAAAAAAAGAAGGCAGGGAGAAGAGAGGGCCCAGAGCTGAATGCAAATAAACTGCCACATTTATGGGTTGAGTAGAAGAGGAAAAGCTGACAGGAGCAGCCAAGAAGGAGCTCGGAAGGAAGCAGAGTCTGGATGCCAGGGGAGACACGAGGAGACCGGTTCAGGACCGAGGGTGTGTCACTGTATCAAATTCTGCTGGGAAGTCATGTACGGCAGGAAAACTAGAGGGACTGTTGGATTTACACGGTGGTGGGCACGGGGTCCTTTCTAAGAGCAGTTTGGGTGGAGCACTGTGGATAAAAGGCAAGTTGCAGTAAGGGGACAAATGGAAATAATACATGAAGCCTATTGTTGCTACAAGTTTTCCTGCTGGGGGAGAGAAAACTAGGCAGTGGCTAGACGGGTACGTGGGGTTAAAGGAGGATAACTGGGCGATACTGAAGTACATCCCTGTGTCAATGGGGACAGTGGATTAGGTGAGGAGGCGGGGAGAAACAGCAACAGAAGGAATTAGAGATGGATAAAGAAAGAAGAGGAAGGGAGAGGGCAGGTAGGAAAGCGGTGACACACA